GGAACCTACCTCTCAGCCTCCCGTGAACGATTGTGGGTCCCCGAAGTGCATTTGGACTGTCATAATTGTGAGCCGGTTAAAGCTGTTTGGGAGGCCCTCTTATAGATTTTTGGTCTGGCGCTCCTCCTGCTGTTTGTGAGTTGAGTGATATATAAAGAATTGAAGTGGGCAGCACAGTGACCAAACGGTTAGCACTTCCACCTGACAGTACTATGGCTGTTGGTTCGAATCCCACCCATGACACCACCTGCCTGGAGTTTGCATGTTCTCCCTGTGCCTGTGTGGGTTTCCTCTTGGTACTCCGGTTTCCTCCCACACTCGAAAAAATATTCTGGGAGGTGAATTGGCTCCTATCTAAATTGGCCCTAGTGTTATGCATATCTATGGATGTGAGTTAGGGACCTTAGATTGTGCGCTCCTCGGGGGCGGGGACTGATGTGAATGTACAATATATATGTAAAGCGCGGCGTTACATTGATGGCGCTATAGAAGTACCTGAAATAAATAAGTTCTGGCGCCTCCTGGATGTATCCCATTGGATGTGATTGCAGTGGCCTCATTACACACAATCCCCCCCCCTCCTCCCCCCCAGCCTCGTGTTACAGGAACTGGTTCTTCTATACGGGAAGGGATTTGCAGGCTCCGAGGAAGGAACGTGGATTGCGCACGGACTGTTCTGTGGATGGAGTGTTCCTTTAAGAACCGAGGAGAACATTGGGGAATAATTGAAATGCTGAGCAGCGTAGGCGTCGGCTGTCATTTTTGTTCACGGAGAATTGTCTCTCCTGCCGTCACTGCAGCGCCGCTGTACACCGCTCAGCCGATACAATGTAACCGCGTGAAATGTTTTCTGGAGGATTTTTTGTTTCTTTTTATTCCTTTTGGCTCTTTAGAACAGAAGTTACATTTTTGGGTTGCTGTGAAAACTCACGAAATTGTGTCGGGTTTGTGCATTTGTGCGAGTTTTACACCCAACGCCTAGGGCAGCGCAGTGATCCCGACAAATGTGGCAAAGTTGCTCGTGTGCTGGCATCTCATTCTTACATGGTCCAGCACCCCCTCCTTACATGGTCCAGCACCCCGTTCTTACATGGTCCAGCACCCCGCCTCTTACATGGTCCAGCACCCCGCTCTTACATGGTCCAGCACCCCGCTCTTACATGGTCCAGCACCCCCTCCTTACATGGTCCAGCACCCCGCTCTTACATGGTCCAGCACCCGCTCTTACATGGTCCAGCACCCCGCTCTTACATGGTCCAGCATCCCGTTCTTTCATGGTCTAGCATCTCATTCTTACGTGATCCAGCACCCCCTTCTTACATGGTCCAGCACCCCGCTCTTTCATGGTCCAGCACCCCATTCTTACATGGTCCAGCACCCCGCTCTTACATGGTCCAGCACCCCGTTCTTACATGGTCCAGCACCCCATTCTTACATGGTCCAGCACCCCGTTCTTACATGGTCCAGCACCCCCTCCTTACATGGTCCAGCACCCCCTCCTTACATGGTCCAGCACCCCCTCCTTACATGGTCCCAGCACCCCCTCCTTACATGGTCCAGCACCCCCTCCTTACATGGTCCAGCACCCCCTCCTTACATGGTCCAGCACCCCCTCCTTACATGGTCCAGCACCCCGTTCTTACATGGACCAGCACCCCGCTCTTACATGGACCAGCACCCCGCTCTTACATGGTCCAGCACCCCGCTCTTACATGGTCCAGCACCCCGCTCTTACATGGTCCAGCACCCCGTTCCTACATGGCCCAGCACCCCGCTCTTACATGGTCCAGCACCTCGTTCTTACATGGTCCAGCACCCCGTTCTTACATGACCCTTACATGTCGCAGCACATAAATCTGACAGGGGTTCTGACAACTCCCTACTGTATCCCAAATCTAAAAAAAAAAAAAAAAAGAATTTGGGGTTCAGATATACTTTAAGTGTCTTGATTCCCCCTAGGCAGGTCCTCTTTTATTCTGTATATTTGTCCTGCAGTGTAGATGGGACTCTTTGTTGCGGGGCTCATGGTCTTTTTCTGCTGCCTGTGTGGCCCATTGTACCCTTCTGGCTCCCATGACCCTCTGCAGTTGAGGCCTCCACTATGGAGGTCAGGATGGGGTGAATGGATGAACACTCCATGTGGACTGACCCATGAAACGGTTTCCTGTCAGTCAGCTTTACACGCCATGGAAGTAAACTCGTCTGTAGCGATATTAACTCCCCATGTGTACACCATCCCTGTTCTGTGGAGGAGAACGCGGCGCGGAGGGTCCCGCGGGAGGTCACACCGGAGTCCATTGTAGCAGTGAGAGGCGATGACCTGAAAAACGAGGCCAACTCTCACATTTTCACACGGAGAGCCTCTATAACTCGCACTGCGCACTTTCTGCAGACGCCTCCCGCTGGGGACGGGTAGAAGGTGTTTATGTGAGAAGTTCAGTTCTGAAAGCCGATGAGCTCTCTTCACTCGTCTCATGAAAATAATCCGAATAATCCGACACAAATGGACTTTGTAGATTCGGCCAATCCACACTCTCTGCCAGTGTTTTTTTTTCTACAAAAAATTTCAGATAATTTACCTTCAATAATGATTATTTATAAGGGGGGGGGGGGGGGGGGGGCAGAAGTGAAATCACCAGGTTAGGGAGTCTTTCTATATTTTACACTTTCTTTTTTCACCATTTTTCTCTTTTCACCAATTTTTTTATATTTAAAAATAGTTCATCTTTAAAGAGAGAAGGTTTGAAGGTTTTAATGTTTTCTGACCCATAATTTGCCCAGAGCCTGAAACATGTCAGAGCTCTGCACCGCATTCCCCATTAATTATTTGACCCAGTGAGACTGAACTCTGATTGAACAAGATATATATCCAAGCACTGTATGTGTCCCCTCTATTGCTCTCAGCCCCCTCCTAAATCTCGAAAATTCCTTTTTCTTTTTGCTGCAGTGATCTGACTTCCTGTGTGAAGGTGGCTACATCCCTTCTCCATGGTCTCCTCCATCTAGGAATGTAGCCACCATTTCTTGCTCAATTCTGCTATAGGCTATGAACTAGATGCTAGAAGCTATGGGCTTGGTATTGGGGGCTGGTGATCAGGGGCCTAGGGGCTATGGACCAGGGACAAGGGGCTGTGGGCCAGGGACTATGGACCAGGTTCTAGGGGCTATGTATTATAGGCTAGGGCCTGGAGGCTGTGGACCAGCTGTTAGGGGCTATGGACCTGGGGCTAGGGGCTGTGGACTAGGGCTGTGGACCAAGGGCTCGGGGCTGTGGACCAGGGCTAGGGTTATGGACTATGAACCAGGGGCTATGGCTATAGACCAAGGGCAGGGGGCTATGGACCAGGGGCTATTGACAGCTGTTGGAGGCTATGGATCAGGGATAGGAGTTATAGATTATACACCAGGGGCTATGTCCCATGGGCTGTGGGCAATGGGCTATAGACCAGGGGCTGGGGGCTATGGGCTAGGAGCTATTGACAGCTGTTGGGGGCTATGGACCAGGAATGGTTATAGATTATGCACCAGGGCTATGGACCATGGGCTGTTATGGGCTATAGATTAGGGGCACTAGGGCTATGGACCAGGGGCTGGGGCTAGTGGCTGTTGGGGGCATGGCAGGGATAGGAGTTATAGATTATGCACCAGGGGCTGCGGGCAATGGGCTATAGACTGGGGGCTAGGGGCTATTGACAGCTGTTGGGGGCTATGGACCAGGAATAGGAGTTATAGATTATGCACCAGGGGCTATGGACCATGGGCTGTGGGCAATGGGCTATAGATTAGGGGCTATGGGCTATGGACCAGGGGCTGGGGGCTAGTGACAGCTGTTGGGGGCTATGGACCAGGGATAGGAGTTATAGATTATGCACCAGGGGGGCTATGGGCTGCGGGCAATAGGGCTATATGGACCAGGGGCTGGGGGCTATTGACAGCTGTTGGGGGCTATGGACCAGGGATGTTTAGGGGCTATGGAATGTGTAGCAGGGGCATATGAGCAGATGTAGGGGCCTGGAAGCACAACTATAGTGAGTGTACCTAAGGGGGGGGATGAGAGGTTCGGGAGCTCACTGAGGATATTACAAGAAGGCAGAAGAACCCAGCATGCTCTGTGTGGCCCCCTTCTATATACTGGTAGGCCCATGACCCAACATATTAGGTTTAGTTCCTTTATTACCCAGCATGCTTTGCTTGCCCCCCTCCTATGTACCGGCACACCCGTGACCCAGTCCCCCCCTTCGCAGCCATGTGCGGTCGTCTCCCCCTCCATGTCACGTTCGGGAATTTCCGGTAACCCAATCCTCGCATCGGCCGTGTCTCCTGCCTATAAACATTCCGTGTTTTATGGCTCCTGAGCCGAGTTTCTGATAATGAGAATCTTCTGCGACTCCGAGGATGAATTGCGAACGCGTAGAAGGCGGAGAATTCCCTGTGGTCGATCTTCGATCCTGAACGCGGCTGATTGTGGCCTCCCGTGTCGCGGCATGTACGGGAAGACGCCGTGTCACATCAGTGTCACTCCCCCTCCCAGGATTGGAGGAATTATCACCGATTAAAGGATTATCAGACTTATAACGCCGCGCGCCGCATAACGAGATTTACGGCCGGTTATAAATCTATATGGAAACGCCGAGCGCTGATTAATTCAAATTGATTTCGTCTTTATTGATGGAAAATGCGTCCGGCGCCAGAGACGGGGAACTCGCTGACATCCTCTTAGAGGCCTCACTGACATGACTTCGGTGTGGTTGGCTGAGTCAATCCGAGGCGCGGTTTTTAGCCGTGTTCCTGCGCAGCCAATGGCGTCTTCTATCCCTTCTATAGGCATCTCTAAAACCAAACTCCAGAAATTCGAATCTTTCCACACTTAAAAACAAAATGTTTTTGTCTGTGTCCCCAAAATAGATTTTTTTTTCCCTTCGTTTCCTGTCCCGGTGACACCTATACATGAAGTAGGGGGATCGGTTGTCACTGAAACGGGAAGACACAAAGGGAAGGAGTCGGTACACCTGTGCAGGACTGAAGGGGAGGAGCCGGTACACCTGTGCAGGACTGAAGGGGAGGAGCTGTGCGGACTACACCTGTGCAAGACTGAAGGGACCTGTGAGCCGGTACACCTGTGCAAGACTGAAGGGGAGGAGCCGGTACACCTGTGCAAGACTGGAGGGGAGGAGCCGGTACACCTGTGCAAGACTGGAGGGGAGGAGCCGGTACACCTGTGCAAGACTGAAGGGGAGGAGCCGGTACACCTGTGCAAGACTGAAGGGGAGGAGCCGGTACACCTGTGCAAGACTGAAGGGGAGGAGCCGGTACACCTGTGCAGGCAAGACTGAAGGGGAGGAGCCGGTACAACTGTGCAAGACTGAAGGGGAGGGGAGGCAAGCCGGTACAACTGTGCAAGACTGAAGGGGAGGAGCCGGTACACCTGTGCAAGACTGAAGGGGAGGAGCCGGTACACCTGTGCAAGACTGAAGGGGGGCCGGTACACCTGTGCAAGACTGAAGGGGAGGAGCCGGACCTGGCAAGGAGGGAGGAGCCGGTACACCTGTGCAAGACTGAAGGGGAGGAGCCGGTACACCCGGTGTGCAAGACTGAAGGGGAGGAGCCGGTACACCTGTGCAAGACTGAAGGGGAGGAGCCGGTACACCTGTGCAAGACTGAAGGGGAGGAGCCGGTACACCTGTGCAAGACTGAAGGGGGGGAGGCAAGACTGTAGGGGAGGGCCGTACACCTGTGCAAGACTGAAGGGGAGGAGCCGGTACACCTGTCTGCCGGTAACCTGTGCAAGACTGAAGGGGAGGAGCCGGTACACCTGTGCAAGACTGAAGGGGAGGAGCCGGTACACCTGTTGACTGAAGGGGCGGAGCCGTTACACCATGTGCACGACTGAAGGGGAGGAGCCGTTACACCTGTGCAAGACTGAAGGGGAGGAGCCGGTACACCTTTGCAAGACTGAAGGGGAGGAGCTGGTACACCTGTGCAAGACTGAAGGGGAGGAGCCTGTAGGGGGCGCTGGAGGGTGGAATGTACCTCTGTAGAAGGTTGGTTGGGGTTTGTGCTGGAAGACTATTTTCCATTTTAGGTGAATTTTAGGACAAGATGAGCTTTTCCTGGAGAGAATTTGTTCAGTTTTCAGTTTGCTGTTCATGGCTCATTGCTGATCAATACCGTCATTGATAATATTGATTGATCGGTAATCTATAGAACTCTGAGGGGCGGCCTTACGCTGGCAGTGAAAGGGTTGAAGATTCGGAATGTTTTCCAGTTTAATTTTAGGTCGTCCAGATATAGTTACAGCGCGGCGGCGGCGGTGGCGGTCGTAGCTCGCCGTCCCTAATGAAAGTGGATGGAATGCGGCGTTTCTGGCGGGAGGAGATTCGGCACCATCTGCCTCCTCTTCATGGAGCATCTTTATACAATTATTGATTCGGCTTCGGGGTCCGTGTGAGGAGCAGTAGGGGGGGAGGGGAGCTTCGGGGTCCGTGTGAGGAGCAGTAGGGGGGGGGGGGGGGGGGAGGGGGGAGATCTTCTGACCATCTCAGGGATTTATTGTGAACCGAACGCCGCAGGAATGCCAGGACCACGCAGGGAATGGCGAACAGCGAGGCTGATGTCTGCCGCACGTGGCCAGACGGCTGTAAATTTTACAAGCTGAGAGGTTTGGGGATCTCATTTCGGACTCCGGGGGGGCCACAGACAGAATGTTTATGGTGTTTACATTGACTGCGCAGAGATACGACATGAAAATAAATGGCATGGAGGCGGGGGAGGGGATTAGGGGGGTGTCATGGGACCCTCACCATCCAGATCCATCCCCATCCTGTACATATATACATTGATATTTATTCATTGTTACTTTTTACTTTCTCTTCCTCGTGTTCCATACAAATATGTAATGCTCCCAACCTGGGGATCAAGGGGCACATGTGGCCCTTTGGTACTTGTTGTGTGGCCCTTGGCGGACTCCAGCAGATGGTAGTGGAAGCATTCCTGGTAAAGATGCTGCAATGACTGTGATCTCTAGCAGTCTCATGTTCTCTGGTCATCTCCTGTACCATGTCTGCAGTCTCTGACCATCTCCTGTACCATGTCCGCAGTCTCTGGTCATCTCCTGTACTGTGTCTGCAGTCTCTGACCATCTCCTGTACTGTGTCTGCAGTCTCTGACCATCTCCCATAGTATGTCTGCAGTCTCTAACCATCTCCAGTACTATGTCTGCAGTCTCTGACCATCCCCTGTACTATGTCCGCAGTCTCTGGTCATCTCCTGTACTATGTCCGCAGTCTCTGGTCATCTCCTGTACTGTGTCCGCAGTCTCTGGTCATCTCCTGTACATGTCTGCAGTCTCTGACCATCTCCCTGTACTATGTCTGCAGTCTCTAACCATCTCCTGTACTGTGTCTGCAGTCTCTGGTCATCTCCTGTACTGTGTCCGCAGTCTCTGGTCATCTCCTGTACTATGTCTGCAGTCTCTAACCATCTCCTGTACTATGTCTGCAGTCTCTGACCATCTCCCTGTACTATGTCTGCAGTCTCTGGTCATCTCCTGTACTATGTCTGCAGTCTCTGGTCGTCTCCTGTACTATGTCCGCAGTCTCTGGTCATCTCCTGTACTATGTCTGCAGTCTCTGGTCATCTCCTGTACTGTGTCCGCAGTCTCTGGTCATCTCCTGTACTGTGTCTGCAGTCTCTGGTCATCTCCAGTACTGTCCGCAGTCTCTGGTCATCTCCTGTACTGTCCGCAGTCTCTGGTCATCTCCTGTACTGTGTCTGCAGTCTCTGGTCATCTCCTGTACTGTCCGCAGTCTCTGGTCATCTCCTGTACTGTGTCCGCAGTCTCTGGTCATCCCCTGTACTATGCCTGCTGTGCCATGCCAGTACACCTGTGCAAGATTGAAGGGGAGGAGCTGTACACCTGTGCAAGACTGAAGGGGAGGAGTCGGTACACCTGTGCAAGACTGAAGAGGAGGAGCTGTACACCTGTGCAAGACTGAAGGGGAGGAGCTGTACACCTGTGCAAGACTGGAGGGGAGGAGCCTGTTCACTTGTGCAAGTCTGAAGGGGAGGAGTTGGTACACCTGTGGAAAACTGGAGGGGAGGAGCCGGTACACCTGTGCAAGACTGGAGGGGAGGAGCCAGTACACCTGTGCAAGACTGAGGGGGAGGAGCCGGTACACCTGTACAAGACTGAGGGGGAGGAGCCGGTACACCTGTGCAAGACTGAGGGGGAGGAGCCGGTACACCTGTGCAAGACTGAAGGGGAGGAGCCGGTACACACCTGTGCAAGACTGAGGGGGAGGAGCCGGTACACCTGTGCAAGACTGAGGGGAGGAGCCGGTACACCTGTGCAAGACTGAAGGGGAGGAGCCGGTACACCTGCGCAAGACTGGAGGGGAAGAGCCGGGTACACTTGTGCAAGACTGGAGGGAGGGGTGGGGGGGGGGGGGGGGGGGGATTTAAATCAGCTGCAATTATTATTGGAAAGTTTAGAATTCCGCTGGAGGTTTTTTTTCCCCTCCATAACAGAAGTTTCCTTCCCTTAGACATCCATCAGACCTCATCCAGCGTGCTGGGAAATTGCTGCAAATTGTGTCATCCGCCATAAAGGACAATGAGATGACATGTGATGAGGAAAATGTTGTGGATGAGAATTATCGGTGGTCGGATCTCGCGTTGTCATCATTGGAGGAACGTCTTTGGTCACCCCGGCTGCAGATTCTGTCGCCTTCGTCTAATCCCTCCCCAGGAAGGTTGGTGGTTGGGCAGGACGCTCGCTGTCAGCGCCGGCGTCCCGCTGTGTGCGGGGTGATTATTAAATGCAGCCTTTGGATTAGTGGGAACCGTGCGCACCATCTGCTTCCAGTTAATTGTCAGACTTGGAGGGGAAGAATCATCTCCATCCATTTACCAGCACGGAGCAGGAACTGAACATTTCTATGGGCTGCGAAGATCGCAAAGTGTTGGATTTCCGCTGCCATGGCGTTATTTCATTTCATGGCCTTCAGGGTTGTCCCTTGACAGGCAGCTGAGTTCAGGCCATCGCACATTTTTTGAAGGGTCATCCCTCATGTCTTCCATTGTATATGTATTATATTAATATCACAAGCTACAGGAAATTTCCAGCATGCTGGGGAGATATACACATCCAACATGGCTGATGTTTCATGCTTGTTATTACTATAGGGAGCTCTGGAATCTCTGATCTCCCATCCAGCATTTATGTTCCAGTACAAGGACTTGGATTGGGATGGAAGCCCTGGAACGTCTGACCTCCAATCCACCATTCATGTTCCAGTACAAGGACTTGGATGGAAGCCCTGGAACGTCTGACCTCCCGTCTAGCATTCATGTCCCAGTACAAGGACTTAGATTGAGATGGAAGCCCAGGATCCATCACCCTTAAAAATAAGTCAGCAGTAGCAGCTCCCTTCTTTTTGTCCTGGCAGTTGGGTCATGGCTGCAGCCGGGAAATGTCATTAAGCAGCGGGTCATGGCTGCAGTTGGGAACTGTCATTGGGCGGTGGGTCATGGCTGCAGTTGGGAACTGTCATTGGGCGGTGGGTCATGGGTACAGCCAGGAAATGTCAATGGGGTGGTGGGCCATGGCTGCAGCCGGGAATTGCCATTCAGCAGCGGGCCATGGCTGCAGTTGGGAACTGTCATGGGTGGTGGGTCATGGCTGCAGCCGGGAAATGTCATTGGGTGGTGGGTCATGGCTGCAGTTGGGAACTGTCACTGGGAGGTGGGTCATGGCTTCAGCCGGGAAATGTCATTGGGTGGTGGGTCATGGCTTCAGCCGGGAAATGTCACTGGGTGGTGGGTCATGGCTTCAGCCGGGAAATGTCATTGGGTGGTGGGTCATGGCTTCAGCCGGGAAATGTCATTGGGTGGTGGGTCATGGCTTCAGCCGGGAAATGTCACTGGGTGGTGGGTCATGGCTTCAGCCGGGAAATGTCACTGGGTGGTGGGTCATGGCTTCAGTTGGGAACTGTCACTGGGTGGTGGGTCATGGCTTCAGCCAGGAAATGTCACTGGGTGGTGGGTCATGGCTTCAGCTGGGAAATGTCATTGGGTGGTGGGTCATGGCTTCAGCTGGGAAATGTCATTGGGTGGTGGGTCATGGCTTCAGCCGGGAAATGTCACTGGGTGGTGGGTCATGGCTTCAGCTGGGAAATGTCATTGGGTGGTGGGTCATGGCTTCAGCCGGGAAATGTCATTGGGTGGTGGGTCATGGCTTCAGCCGGGAAATGTCACTGGGTGGTGGGTCATGGCTTCAGCTGGGAAATGTCATTGGGTGGTGGGTCATGGCTTCAGCCGGGAAATGTCATTGGGTGGTGGGTCATGGCTTCAGCTGGGAAATGTCACTGGGTGGTGGGTCATGGCTTCAGCCGAGAAATGTCACTGGGTGGTGGGTCATGGCTTCAGCCGGGAAATGTCATTGGGCGGTGGGTTGCTGTGGTTGGCAATGCGTTTATATTGGAGGACATAATTTACTTCTTTTTTTTTTTTTTTAATTATTATTAAAGAACTTTTTTCATGGTGTTCATTTTCATTTGATATTTTTGGTTCCTTGCAAGGGAAAGAGGGGTGGCTTTGCTGGCCCCTTGACCGATTGCCCTCTCAGTGTTGAGAGGCACGTGGCCTGGTATGTCACAGGAAGGGAGGGGGGTAGTTTTGCCTCCCATAGACTTCAATGAGGATCATTGTTAGAGGACCTCCTGCTGGGTTCGCTTTGCCCTAATTAATTGGAAACCATCGAGTTCTATTACCAGATTTGCGTTGCCGGCAATGTTACCCCGCACTGCCCCCGAGCATCCTAGAACATGCGTTCCAGCACCAGCTGATGCATGTCATGCCTTGCGGCAGGACGTCAGGCTCTGCAGACCTCCGACCTCTCTGACCACATGGTCCGACCCCAGCCCGGGCCTCACATCGGCCCTGGGTGACAGGTGGGCGATGAGCGAAATGCTCGCTCAGACACGGAGGGGCGATTAAGAAGATCTTTTCTTCGTATTATTGAATTACGGCGGAGCCGGTGGCATGATTAATCGGCCTTATTACAGAAAATTGCGTGCGAGCCGCTGATGTGAAAATAATTAAAACAAAATGAGCCGGCCGGGCCGCGGTACACATCACTATTATATGGCGGTTTAGGGATTCGTCTTATCCGCTCTGTATGTCAACTTGCATTTGGTTTACTTCACCGAAAGACAAGCCGAGCGGAAAAAAAAAGGACGCGGCGGGTGGAGTGCAATCTGAAATCCTTGAAATGCGGACTATTTAATTACCATATTAGGCGTAAACAATCCAAAAACGGTCGACCGCGGCGCTCCATGAGGAGGATTCTGTGAAAATGACCTGTAAGGAGATGGTGGGGGTTATTTACTAAAACTGGAGGGCGCAAAATATGCCGCAGCTCTGCGTAGCGACCAATCGGCTTCCACGTTTTATTGCCAAAGCTAACTTGAACAAGCTGACGTTGGAAGCTGATTGGCTCCCGTGCCCAGCCACACCAGATTCTGAGTGGTCAAGTTTTAGTGAGGCCTCTTTTTCCCAGCCGTTCCGTATGTCCGTTTTTCATCTGTCCGTTTACGGATGAAAAACAGACGTCCATGTATTTCTATGGACTAGCGGATGTAAACGGATGACCCATTTACGTCAGTTCATGTCCGTATCCGCTAACATCTGTTTTTTTAACGGAAGAAAACCCTATTTTTCTTCCGCAAAAAAAAACACAAAACGGATGTAAATGGATAAAAAAAAAGGATGTAAAGGGATGAAAACTGACAAACGAACGAAAAACAGACGAAAAAAACAGATATAAACAGATGAAAACTGACATAAACAAATGAAAAATGGATGAAAAACGGATGTAAAGGGATGAAAACAAATTAAAAATGGATGAAAAACCGATGTAAATGGATGAAAACTGACATAAACAAATGAAAAATGGATGTAAGTGGATGAAAAAATGGATGTAAACGGACATAAACAAATTAAAAATGGAGGAAAAAATGGAGGAAAAAACGGATGTAAGCGGATGAAAAAAAACGGATGTAAGCGGATGAAAAAAACGGATGTAAGCGGATGAAAAAAACGGATGTAAGCGGATGAAAAAAACGGATATAAATGGATGAAAAAAAACGGATGTAAATGGATGAAAAAAACGGATGTAAATGGATGAAAAAAACGGATGTAAATGGATGAAAACAAATTAAAAATGGATGAAAAAACTGATGTAAACGGACATAAATTAAAAATGGATGAAAAAATGTGTGAAAAAATGAATGAAAAAACGGATGTAAGCGGATGAAAAAACTGATATAAATGGATGAAAAAAACTGATGTAAATGGATGAAAACAAATTAAAAATGGATGAAAAAAACGATGCAAGTGGATGAAAAAACTGATGTAAATTGATGAAAAAAGACATAAATGAAAAATGGATGAAAAAACTGATGTAAACGGACATAAATTAAAAATAGATGAAAAAATGTTACAAAAAATGAATGAAAAAAACGGATGTAAGCGGATGAAAAAATGGATGTAAATGGATGAAAAAAACGGATATAAATGGATGAAAACTGACATAAACAAATGAAAAATGGATGAAAAAACGGATGTAAATGGATGAAAAACGGATATAAACAAATTAAAAACGGATGAAAAAACGGATGTAAATGGATGAAAAACGGATATAAACAAATTAAAAACGGATGAAAAAAACAGATGTAAATGGATAAAAACTGACATAAACAAATGAAAAATGGATGTAAGTGGATGAAAAAATGGATGTAAACGGACATAAACAAATTAAAAATGGAGGAAAAAATGGAGGAAAAAACGGATGTAAGCGGATGAAAAAAACGGATGTAAGCGGATGAAAAAAACGGATATAAATGGATGAAAAAAAACGGGATGTAAATGGATGAAAACAAATTAAAAATGGATGAAAAAACTGATGTAAACGGACATAAATTAAAAATGGATGAAAAAATGTGTGAAAAAATGAATGAAAAAACGGATGTAAGCGGATGAAAAAACTGATATAAATGGATGAAAAAAACGGATGTAAATGGATGAAAACAAATAAAAAAATGGATGAAAAAAACGATGCAAGTGGATGAAAAAAACTGATGTAAATTGATGAAAAAAGACATAAATGAAAAATGGATGAAAAAAACTGATGTAAACGGAAATAAATTAAAAATAGATGAAAAAATGTATCAAAAAATGAATGAAAAAACGGATGTAA